TAAATTTGTCTTCAGCATCTAAGCATTGTGTTTTACATCTTTATCTTGCAGGCTGAAGTCATCCATTACCAGATTTCTCATGCAGATAGTCAGAAACAGAGTTCTTATCTTTCATGTTTAGATTGGTAAGCTCAGTAGATTGAAAACCTTGAATTTCTGATGAGAAAGTATGTTTTATTTTCTAATCACTCTTGTAGAACTTCTCCAAATCTAATCCAATTTATCAGAATTCTGCTTGAATTATAGACACCAACTTTTGATGCAGTATTTCTTCAGAAACATGCCTCTACACATAGATAAGTAAGATAGTTTTATGTTTTATGAATCCTACTCTATAGCTCTGGTTATAATTTCCAGAATGGCATGATTTTTCAAAATGTCGTTCTGCTGATTTTTGTCCAAGACTTTCAGATCTTTCCTAGAATGAAGGCCTACATTTCATGGTCTTCTTTATTGTTATGACATCTCTAACTCATCACAGAAGTATCTGGACATACTGAGACACAAATTGTTTGCTTCTTCTCAGTTGAATAAATGATCCTAAACTGTTATAAATGTTCTGACCCCATCCTGTTTTCTTTGAACGTCCTTTACAAATTATCTTATTCTTCTGTGCTCTTCCATTTGCTTGAAAAAAATATGAGGCAGACAATAGGTATTTCCTGAGATTCCCTTTTAGAAGCCTGTGCACTCATTTATAACTTCTTGGTCTAAGTTTCAAATTGAATTCTCTCTTAGCTGTTAAGCCGTTTAGCAAGTATCATTGTGGGATTATAGCACTGTAGATTTTCAATCATAAGTTTTGCCTTATAGGAATGTATCATACCACCACTTTATCAGACTTTACCAGAATGATATTTTCATCACAAGTGAGACCAGAGAAGATAATAATCAGAAGCTAGAGAAGACCTATTATTTTTTAAACCCCACATTGAGCCAATTATTATGACAAGATGCTAATACTATAACTACTACTGGTTTATAGTAGCTTCCTTTAATTTTGCATTAATGGAGCTCAAAATCATCCATTACTCTATTTTGCCCAGAACTGATACAAAAGTCACAGCTTATGTTTTATCAATGTCATCATATTTTTAACAGTTGTTAAGAGTGTCATTGCACATTAGATTTCTTGTAGTTCTCTGAGATTTTGTTTCCATTTCAACTTGCCAAAAATGTATATTAGTAGAGCAGATGCTCCAGTCAGCTCCTCTGTAATATTTAGGTGGAAGTTACTGAAATATAACATCCATGCATCCACCTGGATTAGCATGGGCATATAGCCATGTCATCCACTATATATGAGAAATATTTGTTGGACGTGACTGCCTTTTCTGTGTTATCGCTGGTAATTTGAACATTTCTACCTCAATGTTTTACTACAAGTGAAAGCCAGAAGAGACAACCAGATCCACCATTTCAACCTTTGAAACATCATCGACTCCAAAATACTCGAATTCCTTATGCAGTGTGCGAAGTTATATTAGACAGTATAGATAATTTTGGTGCTGTTGCACAGGGAGCTCGTGCTGAAGCAAGTACCCATGATAAACCGTCCAAACACTCTCAGGCATTTCTTCTCCACATGGAAACATCCTATCCCAATGTGGAACCAGCGTGTTGCAGTCTCAAAGAAAGAAAGTGAATGTTCCGTTTTATTAAGGCATTTAAATCAAGTTTAAAGACCAACTAGTTTAAAGAAATACTGAGAAAATCGTAATTTGTTTGTGTCTACATGCTCCTACTGGAATAATTCTTCCCTATTGGAAACTTTTGTCTGTCAATCTCAGGCTATTTAAAACTGCAAGAACAATAACCACTTGTTGCTTTCTTGTGTCCTCAGTCTTTATCCTAGCTTTTGTTAGACACAATGCAGTGGTATTCATGGGTAACAATTAGACTATTATGTTTCATTGTGGGTTTTTTTTCAGGGCTATACAATGTTCTAGCCATTATAGAAGGATTACAGTCAGCTGACCGATGTTTACATACCATTTTCCATACCCTAATAAGAGGTATAAGGGCAAGTTTATTATAGCCAGTGGGGGAGAGATTTGACTTGGAAGGCTGGGATTTCTGCTGGGTGAAGAAACATAGTCAAGGGAAGACATCACTGTACTGCCTAGTGTGCTTTTATTTTTGGCCCCTGCTTCAGTTGTATGAAAGTCAGTAATGGTTGCTGCAAACTGCTTATTCATACCACTGCTGTGCTCATTTGCTTTGGGCAATATTAATTTTGTGGCTGTGCTAAGTTGGGAAATCATTTACAAGGGCACCAATGGCATGACTGTCTTACTTGCCCTGGCAGCAGATTGTCTTGTCCAGATGATGGGACAATTCTTGACTTTGTTTTTTGGCATTCCCACAAAAGCATACGCAGACACTTATGCCAGCAGGATCAGCGCTTTTTTTTCTGGGAGCAGGGTCTTTTTAGCATTCTTTTGTATGATACCTCACACAGTCATGCACTGGAGGTGGCAGGAATTTCTGATATACTGCATAAGCATCTGTGCATTCCTCAGCTCCACTATGTGCTGCTGGGCTGCAGAGAGCAATTTCTTCTCTTTGTCGTGGCTGCTAATTTCACAAGAAACTAAATGACCTGGGGAAGTCACACGGCTTCCCAAGTCATCACAAACGGGCTGAAGATCCCAAGCCTGCATCATGTGGGAGTCTGAGGGCACATTTTTGGTAAAGCTCTTTGGCAAAGCAGAAGTTCCACTGCGTTCCCGGTTTTCAAACACAATGCTCTTGATTTTTGGCAATTAGGCTTCTAAGAACTGTGTGTCTGGATTCATGAGAGGTTAAAAGAGGGAGGGAGAGAGAGTGAAAATCCTAATAATGAAGACATACTCCTTAGGGCAAGAGGTAATGTCTGTGTCTTAGTTTGCAGACAGTCAGGAAAAGATTCCTCGTTCTGTAGCCAGTCGGAGAAGCATATTCATATCGCTGCTCCTCCCCTTGTCTTTTGAAGGTAACAAGGCAGGAAAAACTATCTGAGACGTGCAAACAGTTAATTTTTTTTACAGACAACAAGAGCAAGTGCTAAATTGTTCAGGTTATTAATCAAACGCTATTTCATGGTCCTCAGCGTTCTTCCTGATAAAATAAAGGCTGTTTTGATTGAACAATAAAACTTGTGACTGTGGGTGTTATTTTTAACTACATATAGATGCCTTTTGGTGTTTCTTCCCGTGACTGCACTGTGACTGTTTATATAATTTACCATGGCGCTCTGTTTATCATCAGCAGACTACACAGATAGCCAGTTAAGGATGTTCCCTCAAGCTTTGTGGTTAATCAAATGGTATGGCAAATGCCAGCCTTTCTAATTAAAGGCACGTCTTGATGCAGTTCTCATTCTGGGCTGGGTCCTAGTCAGGTGATAAGAAGGATTTCTTCTCTGTGGATCCAGATTCTGTGATATATATGCCTTTAAGAGACTTTAGCAATCTTGAAATTTCTTATGAGCTGTATCTTGCCCATGCGTGCAGGATTAATCTCCACTGCAAACTAGGCTGGGAAAGAGTCTGCCTCCATGTCTGGTTCAGACATTGATGGTTCTTGGTCTTCTTCTGTAGTGTAGACCACAGCTGGCTTAAGTTCATCTGAAAGATTCACACAATAAATTCCTTGGCGCTACAGATGTGTAGGTGATGCTTTTATTTTTCTTGGAGCCATTGTGTTTACAGATTTTGATATTTTAATATAGATCTTGCACTTTTCTTGGCTAATTGAGTGAACTCTGTAGACTGTGTAGACTCTATGAAAACATCAGAATACGAGAACTAGGAAGGAATTTCTGTTTTGCATTGTCAGCCTGCATATACAGATGACTGCATTCTGACCCTTGTTTGAGATGGACAAGCCCATTGCTTTTTCAGATGCATGAAGCAGTGAAGCCCCATGGTGGCCTTTGGTTACTTTTGGAAATACTGCTAAGTTAACAGAGACATATGAGTGTGAACTGTGTGTGAGATATTTTTGGGTCTTGCTCCTTCTGTTGTTGCTGCCTCTGGTGGTTACAGATGTATAGACTGAAAAGCATATGGCTAGACTAACATGCAGGTGCTGGTGACCTGTATGTTCCCTGTAAGTACAGAGAATGCTTCTGGTACACATATTTTAAAGACCTGTTCTTCATAAAAACCAGTAGGTGAGTAAATACAAAGAAGAAATTATGTTGTTTTACTGCCTAACTGTTGAAATGAATAATTTTTGTCCTTTTATTGTAAACATTGGAAACCTTGCCATACTTATTTCCAAATAAAGTCTCGAGTTATTTTATAGTTATACCTGCAATCATTGTCACCTGCTGCCTCTGTAAAGATGAGTGTTGACTGCAGGTGTTCCCAGGAGACCAAAGGCAACAGGAAAATGCCAAGTGATTGTACCCCCACTCTTAATTCGGTGCATCTTGTTTTGCAGAACATATGCAAAATGAAAGGGAAACTCTTCAGAGAGCTGCATGCAAATATTGACTGGTTTTGGTTTTGGAAGTAAAGGAAGCTCTTCTATCAAATGTCATCTCTCTGTTTTAATATTTCATGTGATGTGGCTTCTTTCAGATGATCAGTTGGATTATATGAGATCAGAGAAAAGGGAGTGATACTACTCAGAAGCAGAAAATAGGAAGAAAGTACTGCCATGGCAGGGTGGGGCAGACACGTACAGACCGCAGTGCATTGGTTCTTTGTAGAACTTGTTTCAAAATACACATCTTCCAGGTAGTCAGTGGAAATTGTTGAGGTAGAGATGTTTGATTTATCTTCAGTTTAAAATAATCTTCAGAGAAAGCTGATACAACAGTATGTTAGAATTCTTGCCATGGAATGTGTTAGATAAGACCATTAGTTGCTTGTTTTATGGACATTTCTATTTGTATGCTTACTAATTATAAAGGAAAGATCTAATAAATTATGTATCTATAATAAACAGCTGGCTTTTCAAACAAAGGAAATACTGAAGTTTCTTATGCTATTTTTGTATTTCTCTTGAAGGGCAACACTTTAAGGAAAATACTCCTGTATCGCTACTTTAAAGGAGAATATGGAAGTGGTATGAATGGGCCTCTGTCTACCAGCTACAGCAAAACAGCACAAGTGGGAGGTAAATCAACACACATCATTTAAGAAAAACAAAACTAGCAGCACCATCTTTTTAAAAGGCATGTTGAATGTGCTCCAGGGATTTAATTGGCAAATAAATGGAGCGAGTTCTGTAATCAGTTAGAAGAGAGGTTGTGTGCACCTGTCTCAGATGGCTGGTGTGCATTTGCCAGCACTAAAAAAGCGAATCTCTCCATTCCCCCAAGTCAGTCCTTCAGTTCAATTCTGATTGGTAACACTACTTGCTAATAAATCCACATCCAGGAATCCAGCAAAGCATGCAGTGTTTGAACAAAGCCACTGCTGTTTCTGGAAACCAATCAACTTTTTAAAATTCCAGATCCTCCACTAGCACATTAAAAAATGAGGATATAAGGAAAAGCTTTTCACAAATATATCACTTAAGCAATGAAATAAATTTCCTAGGGAGGCTGTAGAATGTCAGTTCTTTCAAAACAAGGCTGTGAGGACCTGCTGTAACTACTGTGAGCAGGAAGTTTGAGTGGGTGTTCCTTATAACCTCATTTTTGTATTATTGTGATATAGAAACCAAGGTAGATTACAATAAAATGCTTTCTAATAAAACCAAAAATAATGTATGTCATAGGAAATACGACAGAATGAAGTGTAGAGCCACATCATAACAAAGCTGGCCATTGCATTATCAGCATATATTAAAGGCATGTCCAGATTTGTGGGCTTTCCCAAATGTCATTCGGCTGATCCTCTGTGTGTTTCGGTGTTGATACTGGAAAAAAATCAGAGTTGAGTGTCTTGTACATCAGTTTATTCTGTAGCAAACAACAGAATACAGAACTAGTGTTTTGTCTTTTCTCTGTGAAAAATGTGTATATAAATGCATGGCTTCATTAAAAAACATTTTGTCAGTACTGCTTTGATTAAAACAGTGCCATATTTTTTCCTTATGTAGTAGGTGCAGTTACATGTGTATAATGTGAGTATAGCAGGAAATATGATAATGAGTAATAATAAAATATGGCTGATTTAATGAGTTAATACAATTTAGTAAAATCCCTTTGAATCACACCATTAGTTAATTTGTGTTAACTTAATTTGTGTTAATTGTGCTAACTTATCATGATGTTACTGATCTAGGAATTAGACTGGCAAAAAAATTTAGCTAGAAGGTTGTAGCCATAGCCAGAGTGGATTTATGAGTATACAATCTTTGTTTAGATTAGACCTGAGAAAAGCAGGTTTAAAAGCTTTTTCAAACCTCTGGCCATGCACATGTATTAGTGTATGCAGTAATGAAATTAAAACCAGGGTTCTTCGAACAAATCAGTTTCATTTTGATCTTCTTTATTTTCTGAATGCTGTTAACAGAACTGTGGTGTGAGTTTTTGTTTTGTTTCTTATGCTTGGGGACCAACATTGGCACTTCCACACAAACATCTTCTTTGTTTCAAGAGGAATTTTGCCTCTAACAGAATTTCGAGATGAAATGAATTGCATTGCTACTGGATGTTTTTCCTAATACATTTGATTCAATATACATGCATGAAACAAACATGAATGGTATGTATTTCTCTGACTTACAGGTGGATTTGTAGGACAAGACTCAGATAAGTCTGGAGTATCCATGTTTGATATTCAGTGCCTTCTAGATAAAGAAGGTGCATCAGAACTTGTCATAGATGTTATAGTCAGCACCAAAAATGACAGAATTTTCTCAGAAGGCATTTTGCTTGGTATTGCATTGCTTGAAGGTGGAAATGCACAAACACAGGTACTTATTTCATTTACTTATTCACATACTGCTTTTCAAATGCAAATAGTCAGGAGTCAGATAAAAAGAACCTTTTTGCAGTGAGTTCTGTAGAGAGGTTATCACTATAATATGTCCCCCTAAAAAACTATTGTAGATATTTCATGTTATTATGCAGTATCTCTTACAGTAAAGTCTTCAATAGAAGAAAACATTTTTCTGCTGTCCCCTTCAATGTTGTACAGTTGTTTGCCAGCTGAGCATTATCTCCAGTTATTTCATGCTTCTCCTTGTAAATTTAATAATTCTGAAGCTTTCAAGTTTATAATAGCAATAATAATAATAATAATAATAATAATAATAATAATAATTTCTGAAAACATGTAGGGAATTTTTTCTAAATCTCCAGAGGTAAAAATTAGTCATTTGAAACTGCCAATATCTGTTCCAAAAGAAATAAATGCTTAAAACTATGGATTCTGATCTTTTCACAATGATTAGAGGTATTGCTCTTACTCAACTTTAGCCAAATAAGCTAGTTGTTTATTCTTACTCTGTGATCAGCAGAGGAGAGATGGCATAAACCAGTCCCAGCTTTTCTCCATATCTCATCATTGAATTTGACAGGAACCTAAATAATCAACATATACTTCATTTCAAGACTGTAAAAGTTAAATGAGAGGAATCCTATCTTTATTCTGTAAAAAAGATAATACAACCTGTCACCCTTCGAGAGCGTATAGAAAGTATTAAAGAAGTGAGGTCTTGCTGCAGCTTTCTAAAATGAATTGGTAAGAGGTTGTAGAAGGACTTCACTTCTGGGACAGTTTTTAAACTGTTGAAAATGGTGTTCAGCCTACTTGACAGTAATGCTTGGGGACTGTACTTAATAACCTAAAATATTAATTCCAATTCTGAAGTTATAAAGAACCAAGAATGTGTATAGGCTAAATTGTAACATTAAATATAAATCTGGGAGTTTCCTGTTTCCTGCTGTAGGTACATAATAACAGTTACTTGCAGATTGAATATTAGTTGCAGATTGAATATTGTATCTCTAGAATACCTGGGGAGGAATGAGGAGTATCACTAAATAATTTAACTTAGTTGGGTAATTTTGTGACATTTGAAAGATTGCAAGTAGCTTTGCTTGCCATTTTATCCAAATTCAAAAATAACGATCAATATTTGTTGCCAATCTTTTATATCACTTTGTAAAATAATTGGTTGTGCAGTGGTTGTCATTTTTGTGTTCTGTGTGATTATCTTTTTTGTTTCTGTATTTTTTCTTTCTTAGAAGACTGATAACTAATGAGTATCTTCTTTTTATTCCTTGCAGTATTCAACTTACCAGCAATTGAAGGAGCAAAAAAAGTCAGAAAAATTCTTTAAAGTCCTGTATGACCGTATGAAAGCTGCTCAGCAGGAGATACGATCAACAGTGACAGTGAACACTATTGATCTGGGGAGCAAAAAGAAAGATGATGATGGTGACCTAACCATATCTGTACCCAAAAAGAGAGGTAAGGAGGCAGCCATGTAATGCATCCATAGTGCATTATATTCAAGTTGCGTGTATTGCACCACTGATGCTATGCTGCATCGATGAGTAAGTTTTAATATTAATTATTGCTGCTCTGCCTTATTCGTCTGTTTTTCTCTAAATTACAGACCATAACTTAAGCTGATTGCATGGAATTAGCATTGATGAAGTCAGTGAAGCTATGCCAGCTTGTACTAATAGAAGATATAGACCCATGTTTTTAGAGAAGCTGAAATACAGGCTGCTGCTAGTGGGGCTATTTCACATGAGTAAGCACAGGAAAGAATGCCCACCCTGTGGTCCTTCCATTGTTCTCATCATTTATTGTATATAGAAGAGAAATAGTAGGGCTTTTTGTTTTAATGTTCTGCTTCACTCTGGTTTGTGGTTAATTTGGAACATGCTATCCCTTCATGAATGTTGCTTTGATATTCTTTGTAAATTGCCTAGAGGTCTTTGAAAAATTAGGCTCCAAAAAAGAAAAAGTTGCATTCATTGTTGTTGTTTTCTTATTGTTTAATTAAACAAGCAAAAACTGTTTCAAAAATTAAGGAAAATTATCTTTTTTCAGTGAAGGATTCAACACTGCATCTGAAAGAGGGTATGAAAGTTCAGTTAACAGAAGCGTCTTCTGCAACATCCAAGGCTTACTCTGTATATAGAAGAGAAATGGACCCAGAAATAGATCTTATGGGCTCAGGAACAGATGCTGCAAATGCAGAGGAAAAGTCCACAGAAGAAGCAGTAATGAGTCCTGCTATTGCAATCATGCAGCCAATACTGAGATTTCTCCAGCTGCTTTGTGAGAACCACAACCGAGAGCTCCAGGTAAAGTGTTTTTGAGCCAGGCTTCAAAGGAAGTTTTACAAGATCTGGAACTTCATGAAGGAGGAAGAACATGCCCGTGCTTGGCTTCTATTACAGAATAAGGGTGTCTAAAATATTGTTATTCTTTTGGCCCACATGATAAAATAACCCTTTTCAAGAACTATCTGCATGCTCAGTTTAAGTTCATGTTTATGCCCTCAAAGTGGTGTGGGAACCACAGCATAGCCACATGAAATTGAGAATTTTCTAGTCGTTCCTGTTAGTATAATTTCTGCACCAATTGTGGATCAGTTACTATAAGTTTGAAAACCACAAGAGGATTCTGGACAAAGTTTTGGTACTGCTCTTTTCCCTAAGTGTTATGTTGAAGGCTGTAAGATGCAATGTGTCTCTGCAATCAGTTCCTCTGGTAAATATTACTACTACAAGAGAAACTTCTGCAAAATGAGTTTTCTGCAGATATGCTTCAGTGCAGTGTCCAGTAGCCTTCCTGAAAGCAGGACTGGAGGTAGCTTGAGCTGAACTTCTGTTGTGCATTGGCACATCCATGGAGCAGCCTAAATGTGCGGCTATACCTGTTCATCTGTGGGACCAGACCCTCCCAAGTAAAGGACCATAATAAACAGATGAGATAGGGCACCTCTAGGACAGATGTTTGCAGATGTTTGTGAAGCTCGTGTTTCTAAGCCCTCCTTCCACTACTGGTTTAATCAAATAATAGTCTTCCACTGGTGCACTAAGATGATTTATTTTCTACAGTATAGTGTACTTCAGTAACTAAGGTAGGGCAATCGTGGTCATAAATTGAACCCGTTAGTAATTTTATGAAAAAGATTGTGTGTTCAACATGATTCTAACTCTTTCTCCTTATCTTTTTTATTCCTTTTCTTCATCCACCAGAATTTTTTAAGGCATCAGAACAATAAAACAAATTACAACCTTGTTTGTGAGACACTTCAGTTTTTGGACTGTATCTGTGGAAGCACAACAGGTGGACTAGGCTTACTCGGGCTTTACATCAATGAGAGAAACGTAGCTCTGGTGAACCAGACACTGGAAAGCTTGACTGAGTATTGCCAAGGTCCATGCCATGAAAATCAGGTAGGGTTTGAATAGATGCAGAACAGTCTACCTGAATGTATGGTATCTTTGTGCTTATCGTAAACTCTTTAGTGCTGTTAATAACATAAGACCACGTGCAATTACTGTGATTAAGTTGAACACATACTGCATCTTCATAAGGCCTGAGAAATCCTTTCAAACCAGAACAGAAAACAGACTTTTCCTTTAGCCTGTCAGTTTACATACAGCGTTTCCAGTCCTTTTTGGTCCATAGTTTGAACCTCACTTCATGAGACTTTGGATTTCAAGTCACAACTGTGGAATTACATTACCTATATCACAGTGTTGTTTGTTGTTTTTTTCCATTTTCATGCATTTTGCATTTTAAGGTTTTTATATAGGATGCTGATTTTTACTTTCCCTATTTAACATAACAGCCACAAAATTTAACTTACTGTTCTGCTGTGCTACCTGATGACATCTTTAATTAGGATATCAGTAGGAAAATGAGTGAGGGTAAAGACTATGCAGCCTTTTGAGTTGTGGCTGTTGGTAGCTGTCTCTTCAGTGCTATTCTGAGGCAATATAAAAATGCAGGGTATACTTAACATGCTGCTGTTTTTTATCTGAAGAGACTGTAGTGAAGTTGTCACAGTGGATGAAATTTCAGAATTTTCAATGTGGATTAATGATGGGAAAATATCAGTAGGCAAAATTACAGAGATACAACCTATTATTGATACTAAGGACAGCTGAAGAAATGCAGTATTAATGCTCCTTCATTAACATACATAAATGAAGTGCAAAGTGCTTCTTTTACTGTTTCTGGTTATCAATTGACATTACTTGAAACTTTAAAAACAAGCAAACAAAAATCCTTTAGTAGGCAAATTTTTAAACAGTCATATTTGATCCTTTAATGAATAGGAAAAATGTTTGTAAAAAATAATAATATCAATGGAAATAAAAAGAAAATCTATGTTCTCAAGTTAACTTGTTCTCTGACCTTACTGATAATGGAAGGGAATGATTGTTAAGGCTTAATTACTTAGGCTTACCTGCTGGGAAGTCACTCAGGATTAGAATTTTACTTGTTTAAACCATTTGCAAATCTCATGCAGCATGTTTTGGAGACAAATGCTCCCCACTGTCATTTTCCTGTTTTGTGTTGTTTGTTTTTTCCCTCTGTCTTTCTGGAAAACTTCCTTTTATATTGTCCAATAAATCTATTTAAAAAAAAAAAAAAAAAAACATAGAATTATACAAATGACATTTATTTTACATACATTCCAGTATGACTTACAAGATTCTGTGCCTGTGTGTTCAGCCAAAACTGGTAGTGCTCCTGTGGATTGTTGTCTGTAGCTTGTATCACATCCTGCCTAATCCTGCATGTTTCACTGCAAGCAAATTTTAGCTTGCACTGCTTTTTCCTCACTCTCACTTGTATACTTCACTACTGACAGTGTTGGGATTAGCTCTGTACTACGTATTACCCCAACACCATTTGTGGCACTTTTTCAGGCTGCTCTGCTTTGGCAATCACAGGGTTGTCCAAGTTCTAGATTCTTTCTTTGGAAATTTGCTACATAGTCCCTCTCTTTCCCACTGCCCCCAGTTCTCAGTCTCTTTGTTTTGCTTTCTTCCCTCTCTTCTGACTCTCTTCTCTTATTTTGTAGACCTGCATAGCTACCCATGAATCGAATGGGATTGATATTATAATTGCGCTCATCTTGAATGACATAAACCCTCTTGGCAAATACTGCATGGACTTGGTGCTTCAGCTAAAGGTACAGTAAATGTAAATTTGTTTCTTTAAATTTGAGTAATAATAGAAGACATACCTATGCAAGAGCTCCATGCAGCCTGACATTTACTTAGTCTTGCCATAGAATGATATATTCGGCAGCCCTGGAAGACAAACGTTGCACATGAATTCAGCTCAGCTTAATCTGCATAAGATTCTCTACCACAGGCCTTTTGGCCCACTGTTGTGTTTGGGAGTATACCCACAGCTTTTTTTTTAAAGAATCCTATCAAATAGATACAATATAGCTAGCATGAAGACTCTACATGGTGGACATAAAATCTCTAATAAATAGCTATCCTATTAAGGGGAAGGAACATTCATTCTCTGTATATATGGAATTCTCTGTTTCTGTGAACTTTAAAAAATATTTGACAAGGAAAAGAGTAATATATCAGATGACCGGCAATTAATATGTCAAATAAATTTGGCAATGCAGTTAAACTGTGTTTTATTACCCTTTGCAGTATCCTTTGAAGGGAAGGGTGAAGAGTAGAGTGGGGAGGCTTGTATTTTGTTTTGTATTCTCTGGAGAGTTAGATAAGTTTGTCTGGTCTGTGTGCCATTGCATGCAAAGAGGAGCTTTGCAGCTCTACTGTCTGACAAGTAGGGTAGAATATGTCCAAGAGGAGCCATGATTTAATGTTGTTTCTTGCCTTCTGAATGGAGAATTTCCATTGCAGAGGGTTCGTTTCCTCCCCCAAACCAGCAAATACTTTGCGGTAGCTGCATTGCATCATACTGGCAATGTTATGAATGTCTAATAAAATAATTAATACAGCCATATATCATGAACAATGAAACATCAAATCAACAGTGTTTTACAGATGATTTTAATAACTGTAATTACATGATTGAATGGCAGTATAATTCAGGCCCCCCTCAAGAAAAACACTTAAGCAGACATTTAACTTTGAACTCACAGATAGTTCTTTGAAGTCCAGATTTCAATCCTTGTAAAGACTAGTGCCATTTCAATTTGTTGTTGTTGTGAAGCTAGAAAATGGAGTTTACTGGCATTGCTGCAAGGACCAGCTTGGCCATATTCACAGGGCACTGTATGCCACACTGTTACTTAAATAGCAAAAGTTGTAATGAATGAGACCAACGGGTCAAACTGTGGAACTGATATAAATTTGACAGAATCAGGGCACTTAGGGTTAGAAGTTACGTCTGGAGATCATACAATCCAGCACCAAACAAGGTCAGCTAGAGCAGGTGACCATTTGGAGATGTCACAAACTGTCTGGACAAACTTCTGGTACTTGCCTGACTTCAGAGTAAAAAAGTATTTTCTTTTGTTAGATAGAATTTCATGTGTATTTTAATTTGTACCCATTACCTCCTGTCTGTCACTTACTATGGATTCCTCTTTTTTGTTCTCTCTCATCAAGTATTTAAACACACTGATACGATTCTGATGAGCCTTCTCTTCTCTAGGCCAAGCAGTCCCAGCTCTTTCAGCTGCTTCTAATGAAAAATGCTCCATTCACTTATTGGTGCAGCCATATTATTCTGGACAGAACCGGTCATAGTACTGAGCTGGATGTGATATCAAGAATTGTATTATTAATGTTTAACATAGACAGTCTGTCAGTGCTTATAGGCAACTCTGAAGTTGCAAATGCGTAAGTTTTACAGTGAAAATACAAAATTTTAAGTGTATAGGCTCACACACTTACACATACAAACAAACTCAGACACTGTTTTCAGAGAACATTGTATGCTGAACATGTACCCCACAACCAATACAAAGGCCATGAAGAATTATATTTTCCCATACCATCTTAATTTGGCTTGTTTTGCACACACTTTGTGATGTGGTGTTTAATTACATCTTCATGGATTATATTTTCCATTGGATTCTTGAATCATTTGGTGAGTAGGATAGACAGTGTTCACTGAGTGAACAGATGGACAATGTTCTGTTCTGTCTTTTATTATTTTGAATATGACACCCCAGCCTTCCTTAGTGACTAGTATTAAGCCCTGGCACAGAGTATGACCTCAATATCTGTCACTGTATGTAGTGGAAGGATGAAGAGATGTTGTCATTCTAGTAACCCATGTAATTCACTGGAAAAGGGTGGAGAGACTAATATGAATGGGTTTTTTTTTGTTTTTCTCATAGTGTTTTGGAAAAACTGTATGAGATGAGAACCCAGGAAAAGAGAAATGGAGGCCAGAAGCATTTGGGATATTCATTTCATACCACCTAGGGATTGATTTTTCACAAAACTAATGTGTTATAAGGAACTTTAAACTGTATTTTCAAAGCATTTGACCTCTTTTCATTATTGAAATCTGGGAATTGAAATCATGATGTCAGAATCTCAAAGCATGTAGAAAATGAGGAATGAAGTGTTAAATTAGCATCTCAAACTCAGGTGTAAGTGATCAGATAGGGAAGGAGAAGGAGAAAGTGACTTATGAGTCAGAAATTTCCTTCTTTGGGCCAAAAAATGAGAGGGTGTGCTTGCTTACTGAACTTCTAGGCACACCTACTTACTACAAGCTGCAGTAGACTTCTCTCTATTCCTAGGATTGCCTGCACTGGTAACAGCTCCAAAGCCCTTATTAGCTTTGAGTGAGTAGACTGGGGCTTTCCTCCACTGTTTCCACTTCTACTTTCTCAAGCTACCTGGCAGCCTGTCCTGTTCCCTTCTCTACTCATTTTGAAATCCTACCAATGCAACCACACTTGGTTTGCTTGCCATTGTAGGGAACTCTTCAGCAGAAGTAGAACCATCCAGTTCTTCAGTCCAGCACTCTGGTCTCAGCACCTGATCTTATTCACTGTGCACGCTCAACTTGTGCAGTGTAAGTTGGCTAGAGTCTGGCTAGACTTTTCCAGTGGGTGGTCCTAATTTTATTTCAGAAAGACAAGTGTGACTATAGAAAAATACGTATGGGGTCTCATTCAACTTCAGTGATCCCAGTCTGATCTTCTCATCCGTTGTTCTTGCTCCTCATCTCATCATTGTGTCAGCAAACCCAGCCTTCTCTTTTCTGACTTCTCACTCAACTTCCAGTCTCCTCTCCCAGAAGGTCCTCTGGTCATGTATAAATCTTCCTTCTTTCCACCTTTCCCTTCCTTCTCCTTCCGACTTTTAATCTTATAGTCCTCCAGTTCTCAATCCATGTCTTAACATAATTGTTTTGAGTTCTCCTCATGCATTCTCAAATCTTCATTTTATTTCCACACATTTTCTGAATTTCAGCAGCAAATGTTTCCATTTCCACATCATATGAGGTACTCCATACATATCCCAATTGCATATAAAAGCACCATTTGAATTGCCTATGTACATCTTGCCTAGCTTCCAGGTGTTGCTCCAGTAGAGTAGGGGAAACCCACCCTATTTCAGAAGCCCACCTAGGGCTTGGAGCTGTTACATAGGATTAGGAAATAGTTGCTAATTCTGTTTGGTTCCTGACTTTGGATCTTTTCCTTGCCAGTCCTTACTTTATCCTCACTCTTTCTGCTTTCATTTTATGTTTTCCTACAATAAACATGTGTCCCTTTTCAGTCTCCCTTTTGCCCAACTTCATCTTTCAGTCCCTTTCAAAGTAGGCAGTCCTTCCCTTGACATTCCACAAGCCTAGGCAAATACCTAAGAGCAAGCATAGACTGTAAATTGCTTGAATGTGTCTGTTGTTCCCTGTGCTGGAACATACTGTTCAGAGATACCTTGGCAGGCTGGAGAAATACTCTGACAAGAACTCATGAACTTGAAAAAAGGAAAATATAAAGTCCTGAATCTGGGGTGGATTAATCAATACAGACTAGGTGCTGACTAAATGAGAAGTAGCTTTGCAGAAAGAGGTGGCTGTCCTGGTAGAGAAGTTGAGCATCTGTCAGTAGTACCCCCTCACAGCAGAGAAACCCAACCATGTCTTGGACTGTATTAGGAGGAATGTAGGTAATAGGTTTAGAGAAATGATCTTTCCCATCTGTTTGACACTTGTTAGACATCTGAAGTATCTTGCCCATTTTGGAGCTCTCTGGAGCAGGAAAGGCATTGATGTACTGGAGTGATTCCAGTTGAATGCTGTTAGAATGATACATGGAGTGAGGTTCAGCTTGCACAAGAGTTAGCTTCAAAGAGCCCTCTTGCTGTCTGCAATGACCCCAGGAGAAGATGGAGCCAGAATTATCTTGGAGTTGCATAGTGGAAAGATAAGGAACACAAGCTGGAGTGTGGAAAATTCTGGTTAGATACAGTAAAAACTTATTTTCCTGTGCAGGTCAATGAAGCTGGGAACTGGTGCCGAAGAAGGTTGTGGGGATCATTGTGGCCACCCAATACTTGAAGGGGTACTTGTGGAGGGGGAATGACTGTTTACAAGGGCGGATTGTGATAGGACAAGGAGGAATGGTTTTAAACTGAGAAAGGGGAGGTTTAGGTTAAATATTATGAGGAAGTTTTCCACTCAGAGGGTGGTGACACACTGAACAGGTTGCCCAAGGAGGTTTTAGATGCCCCATCCCTGGAGGCATTGAAGGCCAGGCTGGATGTGGCTCTGGGCAGCCTGGTCTGGTGGTTGGTGACCCTGCCCAGGGTAGGGGGCTGGAAACTAGATGATCATTGTGGTCCTTTTCAACCCAGGCTATTCTATGATTCTGTGATTCTATGATCTTTGGACCTCTTTGACACAGCCCTAAGCAGGGGCTTTGAGCAGGGACTGAGATTGCTGAAAGATCAGTGCAGAGAAAAGCCTTGAATGCATGACTTCATTGTACAATCTACATGATTTTATGATTCTGTGCCAAATGAGAAGAAAACCAGTGGGCTTTTAGCTGTGAAACTGGCAAGTTTCTGCAGTACAGTATTCAAATCATAGTTACAAAAATACTTAAGAATTGTACAAATTTGGCTGAGTTTCCATACGTTATTTTCTTTTCTTGGCATCTGATGTTCCACATTTTCAACTCTGCTAACAAAACTTGGATATACAAACCCTGCTTAAAGCTGAGATTGTTAGGAAGCCCCAGCGAACAGGTGAGCGTGGGCATGGTGTTTCCTCAATTTATGAGTTCAATCAGATTTAGCTGTTGTACTGCCACCTCCACCAAGATGTTGAGTTACAGAGAAGTGAAACAAACTTACCCAGAATCAGACAGGAAGCTTCTGGCAGAGCTAGGAACTGAACTGTTGTGCACTGAGGCCTGTTAGGTTAAGGTGCTTAAGCCTCTCAAACCATTCTTTCTTTCCTTTTCACAGTTGATGTAACTGGAAGTAAGACAGGTCTTCAAAGTCTAGGGTGCTACTGAGTTATGTCTGCTGAAGTTCATAATATTTAGTTGGTGGCAGAGATCTCAGACAGAAGGAACAGTTGACAGAGCAAAGGATATCTTTATACATTCCCCTTGAAATATTTGATAGTAAAATGAAGTCTCAAGCATGTGTGAAAACAGTTTGCTTTAGAGTCTTTTAAATAATAACCAATTAGCATTTATAGAAAACAGAGGGGAAGGAAAACTGCCTGAATGATGAGGCCTTTTGTGTAATGCATTTTGTAATTACCTGTGCTGAGCATTGCTTTAGCAGAATGCCATGGTAAAAATTGCTAGGTGAGCAAAAAAGAGAGGGAAATGGGATTTCGTGTCTTGTTCTTTAGAACAAAGCTCTATATTTGAGTCAGAATTTTTCAATATTTAGAATGCTTCTTCCCATATAGCTTGCAGGATTTGTTAGCCTTACAGTATGCTGACATTAAAATGGGAGAAAAGCCCTATTAAATATGCCAGTAAAATAAAAGATGCAAGTAGTTCAAAATCGTATCCACTAAAAAAGTGGTCCTAGTAATTTCAATTAAAACAAATGCAAGGATTGTTAATCCATGAAATAGATTTTAAATTTGCATTAACTTGGTTTTGTATCTCTAGAACAATGCCTCCAAGCTTTTGCTGGCTATTATGGAAAGCAGGCAAGACAGTGAGAATGCGGAAAGAATCCTTTTCAACATGAGACCAAAGGAATTGGTGAGAAAACTTCTGAATATTCATAAATCTTTTGGCTGAAAAAAAATGTCATTAAAACATTTTAAAATGGTCTGAATCTAAACTGAAGAGTGTTGGCAGCATACAGTGACACAGTGTATCAAGATACTACTAATTCACAGAAAAGTGCTTTCAAAGGATCAAGCACGCATGATTTCAGTCTTTACGACTTCATTATTTTTATCCGTTCAAGCACTTTTCTGTAATTGTTTCCTAACTAAATTATCCTACCCTGGTAGACTGTCTTCAAGTACGCTTTGTCAGGGGCTGGGAAATGAAGCTTGAGCAGTTTGTGAAACAGTGCTAAGAGAAATGCATGTGTGTGTCTCTGTCTGTGTGTGTATTTACACATCTAATGAACAAGCAAGTTACCAACAGTTGTTGCTGGGTTACAGAACACGCACAGTACTTGTTTAGATCTCCAGGAATTTTGAATCAATTGGAAGTTTGGAGAAATTGTTTCCAGTCAAAGAGTGACTGGAAGACCTGTTTTGTGGGTATATATGTGGGCATCAGCCCCTGCACTTAAATGGAGCCCAGTGATCTGGGACTGGGACTGGGTTCTGGGACTCAATGCTGCAGTGGCATGTTAGCACACTGAGGTCATCCCTAATGTACAACTGCAAGATCAGGCCCTGCATGGGCAGCTGAGGACTTTTGTCTTTTTGTCCTGCAAGAGGCTTTTGTGTATTTTGAAATTACACCAGCATCTGCCCAGTATTTACCTTCCTTTTCTTTTAGGTTTAAGTATTTCTTTTCTGTTACACTATATGGAGAGCTCTGCAGTGCAGCCTACTGTAGCCAGACAAGGATTGTGTCTGCACTGGAAGTGCTGAAAGACACTGCTTGTGATATCTGTTGATCTGTCTTTAAAAGCATTTGTGAAAATATTTGCTCACAAAGACTCAGCATTCCTGTTCCTTTCTCGTGGTTTAAGAAGTGTTGCTGACAAGAAGTGTAGCACTTTGGAGCTTCATAAATACTTCACGTTCTTCTTTATTCAAAAAGTGTACCTCAGACTGCTTGCTTTTCTTTCAGAATTTCAGGGCATCCATCCAAGTTTGGGCTGAACAAAGTGAATATGTTCAAACATCGTGTGCTTTTTTGGCTGAGAATGTCAGTTATTTCATCTCGATTTGGTTTGTGTTGCAGGTGGATGTGATGAAGAATGCATACAACCAAGGCCTAGAATGTGACCATGAGGAGGAAAATGGAGATGATGGCATCTCCCCAAAAGATGTTGGCCATAATATTTATATTTTGGCACATCAGGTATTCCGTATTTGTTGTACAATTGCTTCCAGAAAAGCATTGCATGCTTAAACTCCACTCAAAACCTGTCTGATCCAATATCCCTTCTAATGATTCCTGTCTTACATTTTTTGTACAACACAAGTTTAATTGGAGTGCTGCTGATAGGACGACAAGTAAGTAGCATCAGTGTAAGAGGTGGCACTCTGAGTAATTTGATAGGCACTATTTGTGTGAAATAACAATGTTGAGCAAAGCAATTAATGTACACTTAGTTTTGTCTTTCTTTAACATTAACATCTCATTTACATAAATCAAGTTATTATTTCTACATTTTAATTAGTAGCTTCAGTTGGGATATCAAGTAAACTTGGGTTGAAAATATTCAGATTAGTTTAGATATATTCTTTACTCAGCTAATAAGAATAATTGAGCCTTTTTACTCTTTTCTCCTTTACTGTCAAATTTACTTTATTTTTCAATTGTGTTAAGAATATTGAAAAAAAATGAAGACCACATGAATTTTATTGTATCACAAATGATAGCAATTTTTGTTTCAGAAAGAGCCATGGTTTTAAAAATGATTTTACTAAGAGACAGATTCTTATCTATCTCTTAAGGGAGATAAGGGACTGTTCTTTATTCACTATACTTGTTAATTGTGAGGATTTAAATGCTCAATGAAAGAAGAAAAATCTTTAGTTACACTGGTATTATGCAGTGGTTTTTTTTTTAAGCAAGGAATGGAAAAACAAGTACTGAATTGTGCTCATATGCTTGCAGCATATTTAAGTAGTAAGTCTTGTTATTATGTTGTTATGGATGACCACATTGTACTCTTGTGCTGTATGTAGGACTGTACATAAGGTGCTTGTCAAAGACAATTGGACAATTTTTGAAAAGAAATTTAGCTTCTTACCTTGTAAGACTATTTACTCCTAGAATCAAATTTTATGATGAAAATTTACAAATATGACAAATCAAAATGTTGGTATTTTATGTCAGCTCACGTTAAATGACCTGACAGTGTTCGTGACAATAAGAAATAACCTTTTTGGAGTAGAATATACATCTAAAACTATGTATGTAGTAACTGCTGGGATCATTTTAGCAGAGGGGTCACTCTCTCTAAGGGTACATGAGTTAGCTGGGGTATAGAATAAATTCTGCCCCTGTTCATGTGCTGGGGAGGCCCACAAAGCCCCTCCATAGCTGTTCCAAATGCCTCATCTGTTGTGGGTATTTTGGCCACATAAGGCTCATGGCAGCAATTTACTGTTCTCCATCAAACTCTGTAGAATGAAATGGCATGATTTGCTCTGTACACCATAAAAACAACCATCTTTTCACAAAAATGTCTGTTTTTTTCTTCTCACATTTCTGTAACTGTGCATGTATCTGTTTACAATAGCTTTGCAGCCATGTCAAGCCCACCATCAAAACAGAGCAATGAAAGGGCAGGCAATCTGGGGCCTTTCCCTCTCCTCTACTAATGAAAAGCTGTGATTCTTGGCACAGGACTGCTGGTCCTTGATCCCAAACTCTTTCTCTTTGTGCCCTTTCACTCACTTGGGGATGGGCAGGATATGAACTGGTCCCTCCTCAGTAAACCATTGTTGCAGGGTTCCTTTTCTGGCTCCGCTCTAAATACCCACTTCTACTTCGCCATGTCTTAGGTGCTTATTGGCAGCTGGGCCTTCCACTTGGCTTAACCAACCTAATTTACATAGTATTTCTTTGCTGTACTCCTTACAGTTTCACAATGCACTTGATGTTGTTTTTTTCCTACAACCAACATGTCTCGTCCATCACTCTCCTGACACTTGCATGTGACTACTTGCTCTAGTTACAGCCTTTCAGTGCCTCTGTAATAGCAGAATCAAGACCAAAACTTCCTCTTTTTGCTGTTAGAGCCTTCAAACAGAGACAGTTTATTTTAGGGAGCCCAGACTTTCAGTTTTTGTCGTTGCACTTTTCAGGACTCTGATGGGTTCTGCATTTTGCCACCCCTACATCCTTCCTTGCCCTTCCTGTGGCTGATTTTACCAGAAGCAGAAGGCATTCTTGTAAATGTTTCACCCGCAGTGCATAGAAACTTTTAAATATGTTGCAAGCAAAGCTGAGATTTCTGTTATTAAATCACCCAACCCTTACCTCAAATGCACATACAGGCACGCGTATGTGTGTGCATGCACACACACAAAAACACACATGCAGAGAGCCTGGGACATGGTGGTAAGATATTGGCTGCTAAATCTGCCGTGTCATGACAGTTACCACTTGACTTCCTCATATTTCTCTGTCTTCATTTCTTCCCTTTACATTTTCATCCTCGTCCAGCCTGCCATGTGCAATACGTGTGCTGCGTCCCCTGCACTGACCTCAGGGCAGTCTGGACACTGCTACTGTCTACTTTTTCTGTTCAGCATATTATGAGCAGAGGGGAGAATGGAACACCACAGAAAGAAAACAGAACTGAATTATCCATGAGGAACTACCCTGATTTGCACTCATACTCTGCAGCCTGGCTTTGGGGTAGAGACTTATTCCAGATGTAGCTTTTCTGCAGCCAGTTGTGTAGGAGACACAAACTGGTGCTTGAGGTTACATCCTTTAAAAATAAGCCTATTATTCCTGGATGAAGACAGGTCACAATTATCTTGAAAATCCATGGAGAAGATTCTTTTTTCTGTGTCTTGTTCAAATGTCATGATCAGAGCAAAGCCTTGAACTTGACAGTGCTAATTTCTTACAGTAGTGTCTCGGGTGAATACCAGTGGTGTGCTACAGATAGTTCCATCAGTTCTTTTCAAGCTTCAGTCAAAAAGGATTGGTGTGGTGTTTTTATTACTGTCCTTTTTAAAAGATCCTGTTAAAGCAGGTTATACTTTGTTTTGCAAAGATAGTAAGGCCATCCTCAAAGAGACTTCATCTTTATGTGATGTCTCTGTAGAGTTTACAAAAGATTTTTGACATGGTAGCACACAGTGGTTCAATACTTACACTAATGCCTCTGCAACTGAGAGGTGAATAGGAGAATTAAGTTTCTATATGGGTACAAAAAAAAAAAAGAAATCATAAAAGGACAAAAAATTTTCTCACTTTTCTGGTGACTGCCTGAGCTTCCTAGCTTTTAGTTATAAAAAAGTATTTCAGTAGTTTGTAAACTAAAAATGCTCTATTAGAGTCAACAGTATTTCTGTGAAGTTTGTGACCCCTTTACGTTTACTATAAAAAAAGAAAAGGCACTGGTTATAACCACAGGTTTCTATAGTTTGCATGCATGTATTTATATACTTCTGTTAACTGCAAATACTTTGGAGTGCTTCTCTTGTGTTTTTCAGCTAGTTGCAAACTCTCTAAATCAAGCACAAAGCCCTAGCAAATACACTGTGCCTTTCAGGATGGGTTTATTTATGAGGCTCAGAGGACATTGTATAAATCTACATAGCTTCTAGTCAGCTTGCAAAGAATGCACTGTCATCTGCTGTAGAACTGTGTAGACGTATCCTTGATCTAAAAGGATGTGAGTGGGTAGGAGGTAGGGAAGTAAACTGTAGTACTTCAACAAAATTTTCAATGCCTGGTGACTCCTTCCATCTCGTTCTCAAAGCTTTTTCAGAAGTATGGAGGTAGTGACCTAGTGTGGCATCCCTTTTATGATGCATGTTCTGAGGCTTTCAGACAAGCAAAATGTTACTTAATTTTAAGCACATACTTTAGTGTCTTGCTGGAGAAGGAACATAGGTCTTGAAATTCCACCTATGTCCCTTTGTAACCTCCAGGTTAGAAGGATCTATGAGATTAAGTTAAAGTTTTATTTAAATCCCAAGGGAGTACCAAAACTACTTAGATAAATATGATAATTTCCTAATGACACTGAAACTTAGTGAAAAACCATTTCCTCCTACCTGTAAGGTTAGAAGAAGTTAACACAGCTTGATATCAACAAGGGTATACAGAATAAATGAACATGAACTCAATTGAGCCTATATTCTGGTAGACTGATGTAGTTAGAAGTTCCCTTTCGTCAGTAAATTCTTAAAATAAATGTAGAAGAAGCAAGATTTGGCTGTGAATTGTAAGGCTCTTGCTGCATGTACTGCTAAGCATACTGTAGCAACTGGAGGTAGTAAGTCATACACCTTTCCTTCAGGGGCTAATTTTAAATGAACTGAGCAAAATAAGTCATTCAGCCAAATAGATTTGTCTGTATAAAGAATGTTAATAGGATAATCAATACTTCTTTATCAAATATTGCAAACTTTATCAAAATAATTCTCACTGTCGTGTTTACTTCATTTAGTATACTGCATATTGGTGTAGGCACATGAGGATTCTTTACTAACTAGGCTTTTTTTAATAGGTGATATTGTTGGTAACAATGGTGACATCAATTTACAGCTCAGGAGTAGGGGTGCACTACAGGCTATTTTTTTACAAGTTGATATTTTTGACACTTGAAATCATTTGATAATGAGGCTTGGATGCAGTACATTCACACAGGAGAAACTTAAGGCAATTTTTAAAAAACGTTGCCATCCAAATATGTTAAATTCTAAAAAGCACAAAGCCTTTGTTTCTGTGGCTTTCCGTTTATCACACCATCTTTATCTTCCACTTTATTTTCTGCGTCAATGTTGTGCCTGAATCCACATAGTTCTTGGGCTCTCTACAACAAAAGAGAGAAATTACAATAATAATAATAATTCTGGAAGAATTAGCTTTGCCTTTCATGGATTTTGAAGCAGTTAAAAGCTTTAGTTAATTTTGTTTCCCCTTCTCATAGTGTAGGTATGTCTTACCAGTCTTACAGATAAAGACACCAAGACAGAAGCAGGTGTAGACAGCAAGTCATTAGCCATCATGGGAAGAGAAGACAGCTTGCTTGATCCCTAGTGCCTTGCTTTAACTGCTACATTGGGTTTCCTCTTATGCTCACTTGATCCCAGCTATGTTACTAATGAGGAAAATTGGCATTTAATAGCTAGTATAGTTGACAGTTGAGAAGTGCATAATCA